CAGAAGCTAAACCTCAATTTCTCAACCAACTTCTCTTCGACAAAGCCTCCACCACCTACCACTGGGGAGAGGAGAACTTATTCAGTAAATGGTGCTGGGAAAACTGGCTGACCACATGCAGAAGACTCAAACAAGACCCCTATCTATCCCCATACACAAAAATTAACTCTAAATGGATCAGAGACCTAAATGTAAAATCTCAAACAATAAGAACCTTAGAAAATGCAGGACACAACCTTATGGAAATTGGAAGTGGCATCCAATTCCTGAACAAAACTCGAAACCCACAGGCCACAAGAGATAAGATAGACAAGTGGGACCTCATCAAACTGACAAGCTTCTGCAAAGCCAAAGAAACCATCAAGAGAGCAGGGAGACAGCCTACAGACTGGGAAAAAGTATTTGCCAACTCCAGGTCTGTCAAAGGCTTAACATCTTGGATCTACAAGGAACTCAAATGTGCTGAAAAGAAAAAATAAACAACCCCATTATAAAGTGGGCAAAAGATATGAACAGACACTTCACAAAAGAAGACGTCCGAGCAGCCAAGAGACACATGAAGAAATGTTCAATCTCACTAATCATCAGGGAGATGCAAATCAAAACCACACTGAGATACCACCTAACTCCAGTCAGAATGACAATTATCAATAACTCAAAAAATAACAGTTGCTGGAAAGGGTATGGCAAAAAGGGAACACTTCTACACTGTTGGTGGGAATGCAAACTAGTACAGGCTCTGTGAAAATCAGTGTGGCAATTCCTAAAAGCTCTAAATATCAACCACCCATATAACCTCGCAATCCCCCTACTGGGAATATACCCTGAAGAACTCAAATCACTCTATCAAAAAGATACCTGCACACAAATGTTTATCACAGCATTGTTCACAATAGCAAGAACCTGGAACCAACCATGCTGTCCACCAAAAGAGGAGTGGATTAAAAAAATGTGGTACATATACACGATGGAATACTATGCAGCCATAAAAAATAACAAAATCATGAACTTTGCAGCAACCTGGATGGAACTAGAGTCAGTAATACCAAGTGACCTCTGAGTATCACATGTTCTCACTCATATAGCGGACCTTGAACATCCACCGTAATACTAAAAAAAAAAAAAAAGACTGACAGTGGTGGGAAACTATGGGGGGGGGAGGGAAAGGGAGGTAGGATTAACGGTAGTCAATATCTGTCTGGGGACGGGGAAACACCCCTTATCAACAAGGGTGCCTGAATGAAGCATATTTGTATACCTAACCCTAAACTGTACCCCACAATATCAAAATAAAAAATGTCAATTAAAAAAAAAAAGCACAAAGTAGTTTCAGAATTGCTTTTCCCATATCCCTTCAAACAACAAATCTAGTAAAAACTTTAAGAATTTTTTTTGCTGGCTATTCTGTTTTATTCTTTAAATTAAGACTATACAGCCAATAAACTGTGTTCAAAAAATACACCGTAGAGTTGTAACTGTATCCCTCATCTTAAAAAAAAGATATAGCCGGGCTCGGTGGCTCAGTCTGTAATCCCGCGCCTTTGGGAGGCTGAGGTGAGTGAACTGCCTGAGCCCGCGGGTTCGAGACCCGCCTGGGCAGGCAAGACCTCATCTCTACAATAAATCAAAAAAATTAGCCGGGCGTGGTAGCGCGCGCCTGTAATTCCGTTACTCGGAAGGCGGAGGCGGAAGGATTGCCAGAGCCCAGCAGGTCGAGGCTGCGGTGGCCGGGAGCGGCCACTGCACTCCAGTCTGGGCGACAGAGTGAGACTCCAACTCAAAAAAAAAAAAAAAAAAAAAAAAAAAAAAGATATTTTCCCCAATTTTCAATGCACAGGAGCAATGTATGAAACACTGAGACAATGTGTTCTTTGAAAGTTTGGTAGAATTCCTCTGTGAAACCATCTGGAAGTTGATACTTTTTGTGGGTAGTGCCTTAATAATTTTCTCTATTTCTTTTACAGAGACTGGTGTTTCTTTAATTTTTGATCTCTGATGGAGTTGGTTTTGGTAATCTTAACTTTCCTAGGAAATTATTCCTATCATCTAAGTTTTGATATTTATTTGCATAAAGTTCTGCAAAGTAGTCTTATGTCTTAAATTTCCCCATTGTTTATGTTGTACATTTTTACTTTCTTTGTTTTCTTCTTCTTTTTTTTGAGTTGGAGTCTCACTCTGTTGCCCAGACTGGAGTGCAGCGGCCACTCCCGGCCACCGCAGCCTCGACCTGCTAGGCTCCGGCGATCCTTCCGCCTCAGCCTTCCAAGTAGCTGGAACTACAGGCCCGCACTACCATGGATGGCTAATTTTTTGATTTATTGTAGAGAGGAGGTCTCGCCAAGTTGCCCGGGCGGGTCTCGAACTCGCGGGCTCGGGCAATCCACTCACCTCAGCCTCCCAAAGGCGCGGGATTACAGGCTGAGCCACCGAGACTGGCTCTTTGTTTTATTCTGATCAATGTAGGTAGTGGCTTGTTTTTGTTATTCATTTTTTAATAAACAAGAATTTTGAATCACTAACTAGCACTATTTTTATTCTCTATTCCATTAATTTCTACTTTATTTTCATTAGTTCATTTCTTGTATTCTTTTACTTATTTTGTTGTGCTTTTTTTGTTTGTGTGTTTGTCTCTTTTTCAAAATGGACTTTATCTTTAGAGAAGTCTTAGGTTCCACAAAATTATGCAAAAAGTACAGAGATTTCCCATCTATCCCCAGCACACACACGTATAGCTTCCCTGTTATTAACATTCTCCACCAGAGTTTGCTTCATTTGTTACAATTAATGACTCTACATTGACACATCACAATCACCCAAGGTCCACAATTTACATTAGGATTCGCTCTTGGTGTTGTATACTCTGGTTTGGACAAATATAATGTGTCACGTACCTACCAAAATGGTTTCGCAGCCCTAAAAACCCTCTATGCCCCACCTACTCCATCCTTAAAAATCCCTGGCAACCACTTTTTAACTCTTTCTGCAGTTTTGCCTTTTCCAGAATGTCATATAGTTAAAACCATACAGCGTGTATTCTTTTCAGACTGACTTCTTTCACTTAGTAATATACATTTATGTTTCTTCCATGTCTTCTCCTGTCTTGCTAGCTCAAGTTTTTTTTTTTATGTTTCAAGATCCTTTTGGATCTTTTAAAATATTGCATAAAAACACATAGCATAAAACTTGCCATCTTAACCATTTTTAACATTTCAATTGAGAAATGTTAAGTAAACTCACATTGTTGTGAAATTTTTCTTAGTTTTTTGAGCCCAGTATTAATTTATTGTCAATATTTTATTTTTACTGATAGTAATGCTTAGTGTTATAAAATCTCATCTGATCACTGCTTTAAATTCATTCTATAAATTTTAATATGAAGTGTTTATGTTATTATTTGTTTTAGAAATGCTGTATTTTTGGTTTGTATTTTTTTCTTTAAATCAAGAGTTCTTTAATTGAAGGTTTTTTTAAAACTTAATTTACAAATTTATAATTGATGCATAATAATTATACATTTTATGGGATACAATGTGGTGTTTCAGTTCATGTATACACAGTATAATGATCAAATTGGGGTAATTACCATATTCATTACTATAAACATTTGCCATTTCTTTGTGGTGACAATATTCAAAATCTTCTCTCTGTTATCTTGAAACATACACTATATTGTTTTTTGCTGTAATCATCTTACTGGGCAATGAATACTACAACTTATTCTTCCTGCCCAACTGTAACTGTAGCATTCACCAACTCTTTCAATGTTCGCTTCTTTTCCTTCCCAAGCCTCTGATAACCACTATCCTACTTTCTGCTTCTATGAGGTCAACTTTTTAAATTCCACATGTGTGAGATCATGCAATGTTTATCTTTCTGTGCCTGACTTATTTCACTTAACATAATGTCTTCCAGTTTCATCTGTGTTGCCACAAATAACAGGATTTCATTCTGTTTTATGGCTGAATGGTATTCCATTGTGTATAGATATCACATTATCTTTATCCACGCATCTGTTGGTGGACACTTAAGTCGATTCCATTTCTTGGCTATTGTGTATAGTGCTGCAATAAACATGGGTGACATGAACATACTTTAAGTATGATGTAAATCTGTAAAAATAGTTTCTGTTAATGAATTTCATGGCATATTACTGAGAAGCTTTGTTCTTTAAAATAAAAACTTTGTTCTTTGATCTTTAAAAAAAACTTTACTTTTTGAATCATATTAGTGAAAATGAAAGGATTTGAGCTGTTCAGAGAAGCCACAACCCTACTATTCAGTCCAGGTGCCATTTCTCAGATCAGGGGTCTTCCAACAAAGAGGGAACACTGCACTATACTTTTCTAAGATATTACTTTTTACTATTTTATAACAAACACAAACAATGAAATATAGTATAAACATTGTTTATTTCCCCTTTCCTCACTGATTTCAAATGGCTTGCTTACTCAGTAAACATTAAAGCAGATAAATCTAAAGCTATACTAATGGTGTTTCAAAGGTTACACATTATCAAGTGTATTCTATCAGTTATAACTTACTAGTCTATTGCATTTATTTTGTCACGCCAATAAGAGGACTTATCACAAAGATTATCAACATGATTACAATTCTTTGCCACTTAACTGTACAATATACATTTATCTTGACTCTAGTTTTAAAGGACAGTACTTTGGGCTTACTCATTGATTTACTTTTCTTGGAATCTACTGAAACATGACTTCTTTTAAATTTTGTGTAAGTTGTACCCTTCCTCCAAAATCTATAACAACCCTGTATTTTCTTTTTGTGTAGCTGCACTTATGTTTGTATTTCTCCTTTGAGGGAGCAAGAATTAAGTTTAACTTCTGTTTCCAGATATGAATGTTTTGAGAGTACTTTAACAAGTGAATCTTAATACATACAGTAATGTAACATTTTAAATTTTATATGGAGTTTTGTAATTATCTTCTGAGGACTGTGTACATTATCCTTTTATGGACAACAGCAAGACTTTTTAGTCAGCCAAATGTCTTACTTTCCTTCTTATTTCTATGAATAAAAGATCCACTTGACTTTGCTTCTGATTATGTTTTTTAAAATTATGTTTTATTTAATGATTCCTTCCTCATTTAACAGTAATCTGGTCACAAAGGCCATATTCTCATCTCTGACTATGAGGTAGTAGTATTTCTAGGTGTCAAGTGTTGTTCTAAGACCAAATTGTCTTGATCTATTCCTAGAACTGATTTTTAAAGTCATTCTTTTAAAATTTGTCTCCTTGATATGCTCATTCTCTGATTTTATTGTTCATATCAGAAATTTATGTATATATTAAACAAAAATGTGAAATTATTTTTTATTTATGCGAAAATGTTTCTAAAGGAGCAGATTGAAATTGTGCTTTTACTTATGTCATTTATAAGTTCAGTCATCTGTTTAACTTATATATTATGCATTCTAGGAATTTAAGAAAAGGATAAAGGATTTTGATGCTTTCCATGTCATTCAAGATTGCAGTGGTTTGCCATAGGAATAAAGAAAATTAAGTGAAAACACGAAGACCTGTAAAATATACAGCGAACAGACTGTTTATGCCTAACAGAAAATATAGAGTTCCTTTTCTTAAGATAGTTGTATAGAAAAAACAGTATTTTTCATATTCTTATTTCCAGAAAACTTAATATGGCTACAGGTAAAATCTGATAACAAAGAGAGTTTTTTCTTCTGTAAGAGCTGTTCTAACTGTTCTGTTTAGCCACACTTGCATAAGTATTTTCAATTTCTTTGTCTTCAGGACACGTGTGGGTAAATTCTTCACGGCCATAAGCATTGTGGAGATAGCGCCAGACTCCTGAGAATTCTGCTGGAATGTCAAAGTCACGGTATTTCTTGGCAGCAACCTAAGATTTTGAAAAAAAGGAAAAAAGAAGTTGGTAGTAAAAGGCATGAGTAATATGCCTACTATGTAGAAACATCTCAAAAGTCAAGATCATCAAAGACATCTTATTGACACAAAAAGTACTACAAAATAAACTTAAAGAATCTTGGATTAACTATTTTAATGTTTTATCTAAAAATGTTGGCAAAACTATATGCTTACAATTATGTTTATATTGATGCCATATTTAATTATGAATAATATAAATGTATTTAATATAAATAATATGGTTAAAGGAGGGGAGTACAGAAAAGGAGAACATATGTACCACCACTAGACTAAGAGTTTATTTAGCTGAGGATTGTTTTGGCTATTTTTTTTTTTGAGTCAGAGTCTCACTCTGTCGCCCAGACTGGAGTGCAGTGGCACGCTC